GTGTTAAATATGAAGCAGATACCATTTAACGTGCCTCAATGTCCTTCGCATAAAGAGCGTTGCGAAAGCAGCTGTGGGCCAGAGCTGCAGCGAAATGCCTTGCTGTGCGTTAAACATCTTAAAGCAGCAGATTTCATAAATGCACCGGGAGGTACAGGAAAGGCACGTTTGATGCCAAGTGCTGTTCCTATGACCCTTATGCCGGAAAGTCCCTCCAACAACACTGCAACTCATAAATTAAAAACATAAAACAACATACAAATTAACAAATTTTAACTAAAGAAAAATAAATAAATAGAAACAAAACTTCAAATTTACTCAAAAACGTCAACCAGCGAAATGTAATTTTTTATTTTTCCTTACACACGCTCATTTTTATTTTTACTCTCCCGAAAAGTTTGACTTTTGTAGGTTTGATGTCAATTTGGCTTCTACCTGTTTTTATTGTACCATGGTGATGTATTTTGAATTTTTATATACTTAAAATCAAATTTGTGAAACCAAAATTCAATTTTCAAGGGTTTGCATTTAAGTGACAAAACAAAACACAACGTGAATCAGCGGTTTCTCAAATTATGGGCACGAAAAGTGGTTTTTAGCGTTCCCGTACTTCTGGATTATGTTCCATTTTTGAGAGCAAACTTTTCGCTTATTCTCTAATTACCGGATCCGGTCCGGATTGTTAAGGAAAGAACCTATTTTTGAAAACGGCAGTTCATTCCTAGGGATGAATCGATACAAGTTAATCTAAGTACATACTACTCATGATCCAATTATTAGGGCCGGTTACTCAATGTCTGGTTAACTCTAATCTGCGGTTAAACATAGTTATCGACGTTACCGACTCCCTGTTGTATGCATGGAGTCGAACACGTCGTTAAAGATGTTTAACCGCAGATTAGTGTTAACCAGACATTGAGTAACCGGCCCTTAATATCTTTATATAATATATATTATCTTTAAATCATGCATACTACTCGTATTTTTGTCCGGTTAAGCACAACTACTGCTTTATCGATCACATGTTACATGCATGATGTCGAAATCGTCGATAGTAAAAAAGGCCCGAAAAAGTCGGGAGGGGTACCAAACGACGCGTTTCGGTCTACCTATTAACAATCCGGAGGGGAAAGGCTAATGTTATTAACCATTTAAAAGTTATGAACAAAAAACTTTTGTTAAATTTCGTTGTTTTCTATGGGCAATTACACCGACAAAGATTCACTAAATCACCTGTTCTCACTTTTTAAACACTATTAAAATATATAATTTAACTTATTTATTAAACAAACACATAGTTTTATCAACCTAAGATAGATTATTTTGTTATTAAAAAGAAGTTGACAATCTTTGCGAACTGAAACGCGAGATTCCAAAATAGCTATAGTGCTGCCACTGTATTAGTATTTCGTAATAATTCACTTTTCCTTATAAGCTGTGTGCACTGTTCAATGCTTTTCGGTATCTTCTTTCGTTTAATATATATATAAATAATGAAAATTTTCGCCTGCGGCGCTTTTCCAACGAAAATCAATACTTCGAAAAAGAATGAAAATTTTTAATAAAAAATCGCGCAATTTTCGACTGCTGCGCTTTTTTCATAAAAATCAATACTTCGATAAATAATGAAAATTTTAATTCAAAAATCGCGCGATTTTTTATTAAAAATTTTCGACTGCGGCGCTTTTTCCATAAAATTCAATACCTTGATAAATAATAAAAATTTTTAATAAAAAATCGCGCGACAATTCAGCACATCACTAAAATCTATGGGCCGCTTGTTCAATGTCTGGTTATCACTACTTGCCGGTTGAACATCATTATCGACGATTTCGACATCATGCATGTAACATGTGATCGATAAAGCAGTAGTTGTGGGTGGGCTTTAGTAGTCAGCCGCACCTTTAAGGCTCTGTTATGCATACTTGGCATTGCATGCACTGCTATACCATTTTTACGTAGAAATCAAAAACCAACAGACTTTTACGTATGTAATGCTGTGCGTTGGGTAACCGCTTACACGCGAAGCTCATTTAACAGATTCCTTATGTGACAACTCTCAAGCAATGCCAAGTATGCATAACAGAGCCTTTAGTCTGTTCCTTTGAACTTCGGACTAAAACCTGTGGAACTGTCAAACTACAATTTTACGCTCTCAAATGAGAGTAAAAGGAGAACAGATGCAGAAGTGCATAGGAACGCAAAAAGCACTATTTCCTGTAAAAACGTCAGACGGTTTGTTTACATGTCATTGGCACTACACTGATTTGGCTGAAATATCACTAAATAATTAATAAAATCTATACATATTTAAATAATTCGTTGTTTACTTCCATTTTATAACAAATATAAGGTTCTTTGCTTTCACCGCTTTCTGTTTTTGTTTGCACATGTAAATCAGCTGATCGTTTGACACTTTTCATGAACTTACAGGAAAAAAATCTCCGGACTAAATTTATTGGCTGCCATGTCACAGATGTCATCTCAGATGCAAACACAGTTGTCAGATATTTCGTCGCAGCTACAGGCACAGAAGACACACGTATCACAGTTGTTGGAAGTCCAAGATGCAAAGATTACACAACTGCAGGAGAATTTGGCTAGAGATAACGAACAAATCAAGGATAGACAGGATAAAGTCGAGGCCAAGGTAGAAGAGTTGGAAGGTCGCCTCCGAGATATGCAGTTGAATCG